TTCATTCTCCTATGTGTCATAAATGTACCGTGTGCCGCATTTTGGTTGAGACTTCACTCTCCAGTGTATCTCAGCTGTTTTTAATGATAGAGAATTGCGGACTGTTTGTCGCTTTTTTATGAAACTTTTAACACCACAAACAGAATCAATCTAGGTCGTTTTGCTTCTGTGAGAAACAGGGAGAATAACAAAAGTTTGACTGTTTGGGATGTTTTCATATCTTACTACGTACTTCCAATAAAAGATATAGAAAACAGATAAAAACTGTTTTTTTTAGATATTTTTACGTAGAATCCAGTGGCGTCGTTAAAAAATTTATGTCGACAACCATTTCTGAGATTTGGCCCAATGTTGGTCTTTTTTAAATGCAACACCCTATATGTATTAACGTCAATTTTTTGCATTCGTTTTCCTGGTTCCTATATTTTTATATAAATAATTACATCATCATACTTTTCAAAATTTTGAAATTGCATGTTTCTACCGTCAGCCATTTTTATTGATTGGTATCGCCAATGGTATATACAATAAACAAAACAAAATCTCCATAGATCCATGGCCTACTATTTAAAATCCGTAAAAAATAAGGTTTTTATTTTTAATTCATGGCTAAAATTAAAAAAAAATTTTGATACATCAATGCAATCAGGAAAAATAATGCAAAAAAAATTTACGTTATGATATACAGGGTGTTGCATTTAGAAAATGCCAGACACCGTGAGCAATTTTTTTTACTACGCCACTGGATTCTACGTAAAAATATCTAAAATACATGGGTAGTAAGGTATGATAACAACTTTTCGTATTCACCCTGTATCTCAGAAACAAACGTAGCTGTATTGATTCTGTTTGTACTATTAAAAGTTTCACAAAAAAGTTGCACAGTGTTGCGAAAGTCGCAAGTGTCTATCATTAAAAACCAAAATGGGACACACGCTACATACAAATTTGGTGCAGATTGATAGACAATATTGTTATTCGTCAGTGATGATGATTTTATACACGATACAAAAATTCGTGCATAAGGTCGGGATAAAACGGACCGGCATGTTAAATACGGGTAAGATGTAAAAAGTCTAAATATGTCCCGTATAAATCGGAAGGCACTCTGAACACTCCACAGTTTCGAAATTGCGACCATTTCCAAACCACGAACAGACATTTTTCAAAATATATTTTAAGATATTTCCAATATTGTCGATCATATACTTTGGTGTATCATACATCAAAATACAAAAATTAACTAGATCTCCCCCACCCCCCTCGCCACTTTGTTCGCTCGATATTGACGGATACATCATCTCCTAGAGCCAGTAAACACTATTATTTGGCGTATAATCTACAGAGTGGCCAAATAAGAATGCGAGGTACTGTGTCTGAGAACCTCTCCATCGTAGAAGCTTGCGGTAAAAAAGTAATTACTAAAACGGCCACGAGAAAAACCTGGAAAATATTTTTAAGTTTCTGAAATGGCCGCTAGGGGGCGTAACTGCGATTTGGAATCTAATAAAGTGATGTTTCTGTGAATTCCGCTATATTAACCTAACAAAAAAATGTCCGGTCTTTGAAGTTGACGTCTGAACAATTTTTGATTGGCAATTTTTCCTGTATCTCTAAAAATGAAGTGGTGGGGGGGGGGTATTCAATGGTTTCCGTAAAGAACACCCTGTATCTTCGAAACGACTAAGCCGATTTTAACAAACTCGGGTTAATTGAAAAGAGTTATTCTTCGGTTACAAATATTATAATATTTGAAGTTTTGTTAGTTTCACATATCACCGCTTGAGGGTCTTTTTCGACATTCCGACAGAAATATGGTTAATTTTCTCAAAAAAAATGAATTCTTTGGTTTAATTTTTGAAAAAGTAGCTAAATCGGGACCATATAGTAAATTTTGGGGTCATTTCAACTTTTTTTTCTTTTTTGTTGTTAAGATCTAAATATCTATGAACAGTTTATTTGACCCACATAATATGTAAGTGGAAATTTTTACGTGTAATTAGTATGCTTGATCTTTAGGACTGTTTAACTATCAAATACGAATTACTCTGGAGAAGTAATCACTTCTAAGGTAAAGAGCTCGTTACTACGATTAACTTCAACACCTCAAGCTACCGATTATAGTACATCATTTCAATTTTAATTTCTATTAATTTATACTTGTCATTGCTTAGCGGTACGAGGTGTCACATAATTTCAGGGGTTGTTGGTGGGTTAATTTTTATGTTAATAGTTCACGGGAAGATTTCATTTTTTTTTGTATTTTGCATACTCTTTGGTTAATAAACAATAATTTTCCTTGTGGGTCAATTGTTGACTCTTTTTATACTGAAACTACTTTTCCTAATTCCGGTGACTGCTGGTCAAATTGTTAGTGGAATTAGGTGGCGCCCGAAAGACTTGAATCGAAGCACCAGTAAGTATTAGTAGTGGAGATTTACTTGGAATCTTTTATAATAATTTGTGGTCAAAGTTTATTCACTTACCTACTACACTGAGTAAGAGCATATCTCACTACGCTGTTAACTATTTGGCTAACGGAGCTAGCTGGTCGAACAGCGGCGTGTGTTGATTTCAAATTGCACATGGTATTTTATAAGTGCCCTGCATTCTAAGCTTGTGCGTTATAGATCTGAAGTGAAAAATTCAAAGCTATCATGTTAAAATTGTTTACCTAAATTATTTATCTAAGCGTATTTATGTGAATGGGGAATTGTTGATATCTCCGAGGTAAAGTTATTTTCATCGGATTCCTTATCTGCTTAACCACGTTTCTTTTTAGGTTTCGTTTTAATTTAATTACCTATCCTTTCCCTATATCGCAATCCGAAACCCATTTATTAATGGGGTATGTTTGAAGTTTGAATTTATTTGATTTGAGTCTGATATTGGTATGCATTGTAATTTTTTGGATGTATCTTTTTGTGTACGTAACGACAATTGAGGTAGCCTTAAAGAAGTGCCGTTGTTCTGGATTAAATGCCAACACTCATTTTTGAATTATAGTTTGAAGTTGCTACGAATATGCTTATCTCAAATACCGGAGCTGCAAAAGTGCAGGTAACCTGTATAGTGCCTTGTCGTTCGTTTATCTTATCGTTTATCTTTGACATCGTCGTGACGAATTGCTCTATTGCCTGAATACAGAAGTTGCGGAAATATAAAAAAAACTGAAAAAGTGTCTTGTCATTTATTATTTATTTATCCTTCTGTGAAGGATATTATATTAAGTTTTAGTTTGTAAATAACAGCTGTCCTAAGAATTCGCATTTAATTCAATGTAACCTTGATCCGAATTGCAAAATTATTTATTGTTTTTGCAATTAAATATCATGTGTATATGTATCGTTCTTTGCGAAGACATTTATACTCGCCAGTACCTGATCTACAAAGCTTGTATTCTTATTTCATTTTTAGTTTGTTTATTTTTTTGTGGCTGTTTCACTGGAAGACCCGCTCCCCTTGGCTAACCGTGGCCAATTCCCTTTTCCTTCTCGAAGTCAGTATCGTTTAAACATGACATTTATGTGTTTGAGTTTTGTTTTGTTACTCAACGTTTACTATTCACATAGATATACACAAACAACAGATAACCTTTTGCATTTCATGGGTACATATACCATTTAGGTATTTTAGATATACCTCGATAGTCTTTTAGTCCGTCGGCAGTCCGTGACTGTTGCCATTATTGTTGCTTACAATTATTAAGGGCGTTTTCTCCCGTCCAAAATCGTCCGTCGAACTGAACGTAAGAAAGGTTTAAGGTAAGCGCCATCTATTGAGCAGCAGTATAGGTAAACATATTCAGTAAAATTGTGCATTTAAAGGTTTAAAGTTTGCACAACTTTGTTGGTGTTTGTGTATATCTGTGCTATTAACGAACAAATAAAAATGCAAACACATCGACACGGTACGACCCAAGATACCTTGCGTATTATCAATCGGTAAGCGAAATAGCAGAGTACGACATCAATAAAAAAAGAAGTTTTTAACAAATCATAAAACACACGCACAGAAGAAGTTTATATGTAAAGATAAGAATTTCATTAAATGTTAATATCGATTAACTCATCAATTTACAAAGAAAAATATTCATACACTTTTGTATTAAAAATGACTTAATATGCATATGCACTAACTCTTAAATTTTTGTTAAGGCGCATAAAAAGGTGGTCGACTGTTATTCATTTTAACAGAAATTCAAAGAGGTGGTAGAACACTGGGTTCGGTTTACGAGAATTTTGCATATGTCTTCCATAAATACCTAAATTCCTTATTGGATTTCTTCTATTGAATACTTAACAGCATGGAATAAGAGGGTGCGGAACATGATCTTCGAGATGATATTGATATTTTGAGAGATTCAATTTTATTTTTCTTTAATACGGATTGAAAGAAGAGGTGAAAAGTTCTACCCCATTGGTGCTGTTATTTTACTGAATGGAATCATTCCATTGGACGCGATTTTTTAGATGATTGAAGTTATTTGGTGCAAATTCAAAACTCACTGCTGTATTCGAAGTGTATCGAATTGGCAACGTGAATTTTGCGACCTGCCAGTCACCTTTCTCAATTTTCATTTCAAAATCACGCGCGTAAGTGACATTGAAATTGTGAATTTCAGATCGTTGTAGAATACCTAATAGATGGGATTCTGATTGATATTGATGAATGCAATATCTAAACGGCAGACTGGCGCCAGTAATGTGCCGTACGGACACTTACACTCGCGAGTTTTTCGCTTATTGAATTAACCATCAATCACTTTTCCTCGGAACCATCACTTTCGAATAGCCAACTAACGGATATGTTTCATTATCGAGTGGGCATTTGAAAGATTGTAATTCATTGATAAACACAAATGAAGGAAGATCATCATAGCGTGGGTCTCGATTTAAATGTCCCATTGCCTACACCGATTGAACAATTAATTGCCATCTGTGACACCCACAGTCATTAATTTGCCTCCACAAAACATAAAATTTTTCTTCCTTTTACAGATCCTGACGTTATACAAGACGTTGTCCCCCAAAACACGGTCGAAGAGGAGGAAAGAAGCAGCAAGCGTGAGTAGTCTCGAACGTTAACTTTTATATCGGTCTAACCGCGATGTATCTCCATAGATTTTGCTGCCCTTTTAAGCGGTCGTTCATCTCTCATTCTAAAAAATGACGACATGCAGTTAATGCCAAATGACCAAAATAAAAATAATGTGGTCGCAACGGGAAGATTTACATTTCAAAAGAAGAACTTATATTATTCATTCTACATATCGGACAAAGCTGCTCGCCCTCGTTCTTTACAGTTTGTCGACGGCGAAGGTACCATTTTGGAGGAACATACTCTTTCCGGTGTCGGCGGTCTTGTTAATAGCTTGTATCAGAACGCTACCAGAAAGGTATGCGGAGTGTGGAGGCGATTACCACGCGATTATCGACGTCTTCTCAAAGAAGAACGTATGTTCGCCGTTTTGGTATGGGGCGTAAAGGATCAGGCCGAATTTACACTGAGTGGTCAAATTATGAAGTATGTGGCCTTGGGAACTGAACTGTTTAGTTCTTTATTGGAACCCGCGCCCGGTTCGAACTCATTAATGATGTCAGGAGCTGGTGGTACCGCTATAGTGTCCGCCTCGACCACAGTTTCACCCTCAATTCACATCGCCGTAGTGTTCAACGGAATTTTCTTACCGGATGAAATATTGGACGTTCCTGTCACGATTAACCTGTCGCTGGATGAGAAGAAGCAAGTCATTTTGGAAGAAAAGATTCGAGTTCAAAAACCGGCGCGCGAATTGAATGTAATTGAAGTAAGCTCCCCAGTATCGCCCGCAGATCTTCGACTTTTAACGCGAGGTCGTTTGGTTCTTTCAGTTTCATCTGTATCGAAACCACAAGTGTTGAGGCTAAGCGGGAACGTTATAACAAAGGCCACGTGCGAGTTATTTCAAACCACCCTTAATTCTGCGCCCAACGATCGCGCAGTTAACCTTCCTGGTAGTTCGGGGTTAGCTTGGCTGTTCTTAAATAATGAAGGCTCACTGGTGTACAGCGTGCAGGTTGAGGATCTAATCGAGGAGCAGAAACCGATCTTTATCACTTTAGTTGACGTGACTACCAAGCGAAAGATGGAGTTAGAAGATTTGACTCCCGATTTCGTAGATGGGTGGGCGAATGGTACGGTTGATAAGCTCAGTCCGCGAGTGTTGGAACCGTTGTATTCGGGAAATTTGGCAGTTAATGTCGCGAGCCAGAGTGAGAATAATTTGTTGCGAGGTCGGCTAGTTGCGCGATTAGTGGCGGATGCGCGTGATGCACCAGCTCCCATGCTCCTCAAGAGAGTGGATAAAACGTTACCACCGTCCGCCGTTGGAATATCGTGGATTACAGTCGATAATTACTGCCACATGCATTACGACATTACGTTGTCCGGCATGGGGTTGACTGATAAAAAATATCAACTGTCTCTTGATTTACTTCCAATGATTGCGCCAGGTGCGCCTGTCATCACCCACATTTTGGACGAATTTAATGGAAATCAAGTAGAAGGAAGCCCGACCGAAACCCTACCCAAAGAAGAATTAGTGCGCCTAGATGCTGGAGTTGTTTTCATCAATATCAAAGAGAAAACCACCAAAACTACTTTGCTATCGGCCACACTGCGAGAGGTAAACACATTTTCAAATTGTTATTTTAATCCGCTTAACCATTTTTTACAGCTGCAAGTACCCGCAACTTGCCTGTCGCATATTACCGATAACAATGTTCCAACTCTATCTCTGGACTCGGACGTGGCGGAGAACGGCGCATGTTTTCACGAAAGAAAATTCTACCAAGAAGGGGATCAGTGGACCACAAGCGACCCGTGCACCATGTGTTACTGTCAAAATGGCAACGCTAAATGTGATACCTCGGCCTGTCCAGAAATAGTCTGCCCTACAAGCTTTAAAATAAAAGTGCCCGGCGAGTGTTGTCCTATTTGTTCTAATTCCACTACGTCTCAAGAAAGTAACACCAGTGCTCCTCGTGGATGTACGTTCGGTGGAATGTTTTACACGGCGGGTAGCAGGTTTCATCCGTTTTTAATACCGAACGGTTTCGATCTTTGCACCGAATGCCACTGTGATTCGACACTATTGGAGGTGAAATGCACGAGACAAAGTAACGAGAAGAAGTGCTGTAAGCATTGTGTCGATACATCTAAGGCGATGATAGACTCCGAAAATGGGACATACGTCAGTGATCTTAGTACTACACACGTGGTGGTCTCGAAGGATGCGCAAAGTATTGTGTCGTACAAGACGCCGCAACAGGTACTTTCGGAGGGCGGTTGCAAGAATCCCAGTAATCCGAATAAACCGTACGAAAATGGGCAAAAGTATCACCCTTGGATTGCGTCACTTGGCGAATACAAATGCGTTACCTGTAAATGCAAGGTAAGTCAGCCCTTTTTTTAGCATATTTCAAAACCATGTACTATTTTCAATTGTTCAATCCTCATTCTACAGTACAGAATACAGTTTTCTAGTTACTGATGATTTATTTGGACATTTATAGCTCCAATACTTACTAATTACCGTGGTAATTTTTTTGGGAAAACGGCCAAATAAATTTCTCCGTCAATTATTTTAATCTCTTGCAGTTTTGGCCGTCATCTTCTGTACAAAATACTAAATTGCAAGGGTGAGGAAGAGTGGCATCCAATAGTATGTGACTTTTCTGCAGACGCCAACGATATGACGCCTCCGCCTTTTGGACATTATGAATCTGTCATTCTCATTTCAAATGGGACGTGGTGCACGATATAAAATAGCGTTCAGAACATATTTCAATGCTGTTTCTGTGGAAACGGCCGCGACGGCAGAACCTAAGCTTGCTATTTTTGACGTTTAAATTAAATTCGGAATTGTCAGAAGAGCTTTATAATGATTTATATGATTTCTGCTTTAATTTATTATACACGACGATAAAGGGTATCGTCTTATCTAATAAATAATTATTATTGCTGAGATTATTACTATTCACATGCTTCCCATATTATAACAATAAAATCGTCTTGTGGTTGGACACACTGTAAAGTGTATTAAATTTAGCAGGGAACACAAAATTTTGGAAAAAACCTATTTAGTTAAATATGTAATTGAAATGTACCTTGATTTACAAACCACATTTACACTGTTGTTTCTTTGCAGAATGGTAGCCAATCGTGTGAGCGCCAACGATGCACGAGAGCAATTTGTCATAAAATGTTCAAACCGAGGCATAATGGTATGCAAAGTACGACAAACGAGTTCTGTTGTTCACAGCAGCAATGCAAACACTTTCGACGGCATCATAGGGCGCGAAATAGTTGAGTGACGTATGTGTAAATTATTCGGGAATACATTGTATAAACAATATGCACCAAGTGATGATACAATGTTATCGAGAGATGCAACTTTGACGGACCGCAAGTCTGAGTTACCCTTGTACCAAAGAAGACTGAGGCAGTTGGAGAAGAAAGCTTGAGCTGTCATATTTATTTCTAGTGTAAATTATTGTAAGATACAGATTTAATGTACATTTAATTGAGAAAAAGAATTTGGCATACTAATACCGAACCGAAAGAGACCTTAATTTAAGTTAATTTATTTTTTCATTAAGTTATAATTGTAGCGACGATGACTGCGTAAGGTAGAGTTAGAAATTGTCAATTTTATGAGTGTGTTATTCCACGGAGCAGAGACAGAACACAATACTCACCGGAGCGAAAGGCTGACCCGTAGCAATACGAAAAAAGGGCATAAAGTATTGTAGCCATTATTGTTAACATATCAAATGGTGCCATCCACGAAAAAACGACGCTAGGTACTTAAATTGTGATGCCGAAAGAGCGTGGCATTTCTTTTAATACGTAATTTGGAATCTCTCCATGCAATTCTACAGTATTTCCTTTAATTAAGGTAGTTTTAGGATGTGTGCGCAGCGTGAATGTGATTTTTACTTTATATAAGAACGTGTAAATAATATGTTGTAATTGCATCTATAATACATACTTTATACACTGAAACTAATTTTTGTGTATATATAACTGAAATCGTAATGTTAATTTAAATTTAACAAACATAAATATAGCACACTCACTGCTTGCATTTTAAAAGTAGAGGTCAGTTTTGCACCCTACAATAGTGATAGCAAGTTTTCTAGAATACAAATTGTTAGGGTGTAAAAGAAGCGAAGATTTGAATGTTGGTGTCGATGCAGAAATAACTCATAAGATGAATTATAAGTGTACCTGCTAGCTAGAAAAATATATGCTTCCAACACTTTCTTTAGTTTCATTTTTGACATTCATTGCTAGCATTTGGCATTCCACTTTTGTTAAATATCTTCCCAATGATAAATAAATCAAGAAATTGGGACCTAAAATTCTAGATTATCTTAAAACCCTATGGTTTAATGGCATATGAATCTTTGGCCAGAAACCTGAAGAAGTGAAAAAAATCTTAATTGCCTACCCTAAACGTCTTTGATTCTAAGACCCTAGACCTCGTAGACTAGAACACTCTGAGATCCTAATAACATATCAGACCCTAAGATTTGTAATGTTCTTAGGGGTTCCCCAAGCCGGCATTTCAATCTTAATTTATCCCATACTTACAGTTGGCAACTCTGGGGAAAAATTACCAGCAAAGTCATTTAACTTTCAAGTCGAAATGGGCGTTTCGCGGCCCCCTGTGAATCTCTGTAGCAGTCGACACATATGGATGGCACGAATGGACTCCTGCGTTGTGTAATCAGTTTATTTATTTTCATGGGACGTGAGACATAATCTGAAAGGGAATAGAATAAAAGCAGAATTTTGTGCATAAGAAAAGACAAGAACAATAAATATATTACGCACACAAGGTGAAACCAGGGGAAAAACCTTCTTCAGGACAAAAATCCCGACACAGCCCACACAAATACATAAAATGAATCATGTACGCCCTATGGCAACAAAATGCAAGCCAAAATATCTCAAATAATTGTACGATAAAATCAGGTAATCGAATCCATGCGCCCGTAAATCAACAAGAACAACACACAAGAGGCATCATAAATACAAAGGAAAACATGATCAATCGATTCAGTACAAAAACACTTTACACAAATATACGATCAATTTAGGCAAAATAAATCGTACATAAATTGGTAAATTGCACGTACATAAAAAAACATCAAAATGACGTGGCTCTACTCCCGCCTCGTGTTAATGTTAATTAGAGGACCCCCCTTCTCGTATATTGCTAAGACATAAGAGCTGCGATCCGCACGTGACGCGCAGGCAAGAGATACAGAAAAGAATGTATGGGGCACTTACTCCACAGCCACACTACTTAAAACACTCATACAAAGAAACATCAAATTAGAGGACCCTCCTTCTGATAGCTTACGCACCGTCCAGCAGCGGGCCACGACTCAGAAAGGATACTGTGAAGAGTTGGACTGTATTAAATACTTAATAATAATAAGGTCTTTATTTGTTTAGACACTTGAAGGAAAAGAAACATAGCCAAGTCAGGCTACTCTACTTAACCTACGATACTCGTCCTCTAAACAGAAATTAAACTGAAATTAAATGACTTAATGGCATAACTAAGCAAAAATGAGAAACAAAAATATATCAATATCTCAACGACCAAACAACTAGCTGAAAGATAAGTAAGGAATGAAAGTTAGATCTCAAGTGTGGCTAGGTAGTGATTCACACGCTGCAAATTCAAAAAGTATTGTTTAAGTTTAAATTTGAACTTATTGATATTAAATATCTTAAACTCATCAATAAATAAATTAACTAATTTCACGGCATTATAAATAAATGATCTTTTATACAAAGCGGTCCGGTGCTGTGGAATTGTAAATTGTGCATTATGCCTAGTATTGTGCGAGTGAGTACTGTGTCTTAAATTGAATTTGGACTTCAACTTACATGTAGGTAGTATTGTTGTTAAGAATTTGTGTACAAATGTACCCCTATGCAAGTGCCTTCTATTTGCCATGTTTAACCACCCAGATTCCTGAAATTTATGTGAAATGTGATCAAACTTTCTCACTCCATACACCAAACGGGTACAGGAATTCTGCATCCTTTGAATACTTCCTTCACCGAATAGTGAATACTGATACAAACTTCCTCATGAATACATGAATACAAATACTTAATAAACAATATAAAGGGATAATCACATGTACAGTATAACAAACAAACATGAATCAGATAACGGTACTCAAAAAACATGAAGTACATCTTGCTTGAATAACAAATTTTATTATTTTATGCAAAATGTAAATAACAACAAACTATGACATAAAAGATTCATGGTTAGTACAAGAAAGCATAAAATGGTTACTACCTGCAGATACGCTCTTTAAAACCGAACATGCAAAATAAGCTAGACCCACCGGCCGCGGAGGTTTGTAATAATCAGTAGCCACAGGCAATCAGTTGAACTTACTCCAGAATTTGGCGGGCGATTACGTCCAGGGAAACAACTAAAACAGAATTACGAGCACACGGTAGCGATTGCCTTAACGGGAACACAAGCAACAAGGCATATATTAATTAGCGCAGGTAGCTACGGGAAATCAAATACAGGAAAGGCAAAGACCCCCCTTATAATTAACGGACTGGAAAGTATCAAACGCTTACCTTTATAAATTTATGTACGACTGCTTGATAATGTGGTGATTACAGTCGCAATTAGTGGCCTAGTCCATAATGATAAAGTAAACCGGCCGCCTGTCAATGTGACAGTCGTACTTGTGTCAATCCAAGGTAAATTCAAGTATTTTAGAAATACTTGACAAATGCTTGACATCTGTTGTCAATGATATATAGATTTTATCGTTTATTGCATTCGATGAAATTTTCATTTTTAAGGGTTGTTGCAGTCGTACATAAAGCTTTGTATTTATCGCGTCCATACATAGGCTTTATGGGGCTTGTTTATTTGTGCCTCGCTCGCAAGCTCGCTCGGCTAAATAAACGGCTCGTTCATAAAGACCCAGTTTATGTACTTCATATATAAATAGCTATTATCGGTACAGTGACCGATAAAAGTACAAAGCGTACGCGAGTACGGCGAACAATTCCCAAAAAGTGATAAACATAAAAATCGGGAATTGGTCTTAATAGTTAGATCAATTAAACGCAATTGTAATAAAACCATTCATGACTGGTTCAGATGCGATTTACTGCAACTCGTTTAATTAGCTACTGTTAATTACAAAAAATACGAAGAACTGTTACACATTTTAAGGATGTAGCAACTTAACATGACTGAATTGTTTAGAACAGGAAGAGGGGTTAGGCAGGGATGTTGTTTCCAACTTTATTTGGTATCTATATGGAAGATATGGGAAGTGCTGGGAAAGGAATAAGGGAGTAAAAATAGATGGCAGAAATGTAAGGTCAGTCAGGGTTTGCGGATGATGTCATATAATCACATTATTCCTGGAAACACGCGAGAATTGAATAAAATGTTGAAACGACTGGCAGAAATGGAATTCATATAAGGATTGAGTCGAAGGTAATGAAAGTTGGAACAGAGTAGGTATCTAATGGATGTAAGGGTAAGAGGAGAGAAATTGGAACAAATCCAGGGCTTAGACGTAAATACTTAGGCACAGTAATATCAGACGATTGGTTGAGTGAAATGGAGATAATGATAAGAATTGGAATCGATACAGCGCACATGAGAAAGAGAGTGGTGCTTAACAGTAAGATGGATTTATTTTATATATGGACGTGAGTTGAGGTGTGGGCCTAAATAAAAGATAATTAGTAAAACAGGAAGTTCGAGATGTGAACTTTGAAGAGGTTGTTAAAAGTAAAATGAAGCGATAAGTTTAACAATGAGGAAGATGAGCAATATAAGAGAGATAACTGTTAAGCAATATTAGAAAGAATAAGAGAACCTGAGTGGGCCACGTGTTGAGGGCAAATGGAATGTTGTGGGAGCTATTGGAGGGTCGATAAGGAGACGGTAGGTGGAGGGAAGAAGAAAAAGCAAATCAGAATAAATATACCTTTTTGAATATTCCTGGTATATTAGAGAAATATTCAATGTTATCTGGGGGGCGGTTAGAGGAGAAGGTGCCCTATAAAATTGATCTCAACAGGTAAATATTAAGAAAAATAAATACGTTTTTACCGATAGATACTTTAATGATAAAACAAGTTGAGAAACAGATTACAATTTCGCGCTTCTATTTTCCCTGGCATAATTGATTCCTTCTTCAAGAACTTTCAAAACGAAGTCTACATTGTCATTGGTTGCGTTGTATCCCATAATTCCTATTCGAAAGATTTTGTTTGCGGTAGGTCCCAATCCTCCGCTTATTTCCAAGAAGTAGCTGCAAGGCAAATCATTACTACACAACACCAAAGCAGTGAAGAGACGTACTGTTTCATTGCGTATCCAGTCACTACGGTCCAGTCAATATTTTCGGGTACTTTCACTGCCGTAACAGTGGGCAAACGAGCGCTTTCCTTAGCTACCAACATTTGTAAACCCATCGCTTGCAATCCCTTGTGTAGTCGTTGCGCACACATTTTGTGACGATTTATCACATTTTCTATTCCTTCTTTACCCACTAACGACAAACCTTCCCTTAGACCGTAAAGCAGTGTTGATGAGATTGTATGATGGTATCTGCAATATAAGGCGTAATTGCATTTAAAATCCAGTCTAATTCAACCTACACTCTTGGTCTACCAAAACACGACCAGTAGTCTCCCAATATCGTCATGTCCCAGTAATATACCTTGGGAGGAGTCTTGCGAGCCAAGATCTTTTCCCTATACAGCGAAACATAAGTTGATCTCACTATTTTAATTATAATTACTCACTGTGCCCGAGAACTAAAAGAGATCGGAGTAATTCCAGGAGGAGCGCCTAGAACTTTTTGAGATCCAGTGTAGACAGCATCTACCTCCCATCGATCCGCATAGAAAGGGACGCCACCTAAAGATGCAACAGTGTCTACCACTAATAGGCAGTTGTACCTACAACTTGCATGAGAATATCTAAAAAAACGTTAGTGATGCAAATTACTTGTGGCAAATTAATCCTAGACCTTCAAGGGGCTGGTAGACTCCGGTGGAACTTTCGCCTTGTACTACGAATAGCAAAGCAGGTTTGTGCAGGCGAATTGCATCTTCGAATTCCGTTAATGTGAAGTTGGTGCCTAGTGCTGCTTCCAAACGGTGAACGGTTGCACCTAGAGATGTTGGATTAATTCGTCAAATCCACAACCAAAAAATATGTACTGTGTAAGTTTAGTTACGGGTTGTGATGTAACTAATGTGGCAGTTTTTGAATTTTATTGTTTCTGCTTTTAAGTATTTCATTAAAAGAGAAAACGCGAGCTACGCCACTGCGTATTTATTTGGCGCGAAGATAACAATTCAAATTCAAAGGACAAGATTGAATGCGCGTCCTGCGAGATGTTTTTTTTTGTGGACCGCAGCAGAATAATTGTGGCATGCAGTGTGTATGTATTTCATTCGCAAATATAGGTAAATGCATCCATTATTTTCTTTTAGAATTAACATAGGATGAGAATTAACATAGGATGTTAGGGTAATTGTTTTGTATTAATAGTTTATCCATTTGTTAGTGTGTTGGATTTATAAATTTGAATTTGCAAGGTCTTGTAAAACATTGTGCAAGGTTTACAATAGTTATTTATATGTATTAAGGGCATAATAGTGATGTTTATATTCTCGAGGGCGACAAGTTAAAAAGCTCGAGGGCCTATATATATATATATATTTATTTATATTATTTATATTATTTATATATATATCCGAGAGCTTTTTAGTCGCCCGAGAGTATAAACATCAGCTTATGCCCGTGGTACATACAAAATTTTATGTTTTACAAATAGTTTTCTTCGTCAAAGTAAATATTCGTTTACAAAATAATTCATTATGTTTGATCAAGTATGCGTGGTTCGAATTTGTTAATGTGATTGAAACCATCCAAACGTCAAACGTAATTTTAAATAATTCAATTCATCGTGAATGAGCAAGAAGCTCCAGAAACTATACGAAATAAGGCCAACCTTGTGATTTAGTAGGTATTGACAATTAATAATTGACGTTTCTAATTCTCAATGACCTGCAAATATTTATTTGTTTTGTCATTAAGTATAAATGAGTTAGGTACTATGGTGATACTTAATGCCCTAGGGCATAAAGTGGTACTTTATGCCCGCGTATCACAGATATAAAATGTGCTATGATAGGTTAGTAAGACATAAAATAAATTAACCCTACCTAGTAAAATTCTAAAACCCTACGATAGTCATAATGTATAAGGTTTCTAAGATGCGGTTCATAAAAACTGTAAGGCATTGGCACCCAAAACCCTACCCTAGAGCTGTGTATTTTTATGTAAACGTGGAGATATTAACGCTCTATTTTAGAAATTTTCGTTGAATCAACGGTTGAATATAATCAAAAGGAGAAAATACGGCCCCTAGATAATAGGCAACACACCATTTCCATCAAGTTTTACTTTTTTGAAGTGCACCGTTCGATTATTAAACAAATAAAATCCTACCGTATCTAGATGCCATTATATTTGCCCTTTCACCCCAAATTCCATTAACAGCAATAAGAACTTTGTCACCGGGTTCAATTAAATTGCAAAGTACGGCTTCCATTCCTGCATGCCCAGAAGCGCTTACTGCCAAGGTGAGTTCGTTTTTAGTTTGAAACACGTATTGTATTCCCGCTTTAATATCGTCCATGATCTATTCGAAAAGTATGTTAGTCTGTATTTCTAACTAAATAGAGGCGAACACTTACTTTGGTACATTCCGGATGTAGATGTCCTAGCACCGGTAAACTTAACGCTTGTAACACGCTTGGAGGGCAGTTTGATGGACCGGGACCCATGAGGGTTTTTGATGGGACTACCATAGGTAGGCTTAACACTTCAGGTGGAGGAACGTCCATGGCGGTTGTATGTTGTCGCTTGAACAAAGACACTGTCACTCATGGAACATTTAGTTGTTTATGAACCAATATGATTCAAACTGTTTATCTGAGTTGTTACAAAATCAAACGAAATTTGTACTTTCTGTAACTGTGTAGGTTTCCACAGTGTTATTATCGTAACAACAACCGCATGTAAACTATGCAGCTTATCTTATCCACACTGACCTTAGATTACATATAGTAATCATACGTAACATGACCAAATACGGGTAAAACCTTTGATTAAAAATTTAATCATTGGTAAAAACTTATATGCCTTCATCTAGAACTTATACTTATGGAATTGAGCATCAACGAAAAACATATCTTTGTTTATATTGGCTATTTTTAATGACCTAATGATAGTAATGATTGCATAAACCCACCATAAAACGATTAATATCCTTCCATTAGGACCCAATGAAAATTTCCTTTAACCTTCAGTATCCCAAAATTGTTACTAGGTTCTTGCACGTGGCCACGTCCTATTTTAATTATGTAAATATGCCCTTTAAATAAACAAAAGAAAATTACGTAAAGTTGGTGTGTTTTACACACAAATTGAAAAATCTTAAATTTCATACTTATATAAATAACTCAACTAGAAGATTTCCGGTTCTTAATATTGAACTTTCTTATCGTCTTGAAAATAGGTAAGTTCATACCCAAACATGAATTACAATGGAAAAATTCTGTCAACTGTTGTACACAACTACAGGAAATGTATCTCAAGAAGAGGTTTAAACTTCCAAAATTCTATTCGTCAAATTCCTAGGACACAGTCCGTATTGAAATACAAATAGACAAATTCGGTTTACCTTATTTGCATGGTGTATAATTCTACCCTTGGAGCATTTGACTTTGGGCAACTAGAGCACCCTCGAATTTTAGGGTTTGTGGAATGGAACCAAAACAGCTTGACTCGTACCGAAAGGAGGATTTTTCGGGTTACAATCGTCTACGGAAAGTACAGCGTGCACAGTTCAATAATCGATTCACTTTAAACTGTTGCAAAAACCAGATTGGTTCCCTGAGAAGAATAGAGCGAATGTTAAAAGAAGGACAACTTAAAAGAGCCGCTTGTAAGGTTTCAGCTTGGGCTGTCTTATTGATGCGCGCAAGGTTGTTGATCGCGCACCTTAACCTTTATTTAATTGTTTGTTTTTCTGCATCCACACATGAAACTTCCTGTTCTTTTCCTTGAGATCCCGCACTCAATTTTGTATACAACTGGTTTAGACATTATGTTTTTCGAATCGAGTTATTACGGCTCCTGAACGTTTGCTGACGAACCGTTTCTATTTTTTTTGTTAATTTCTCGTACGGGTTCTCTGAACCAATCTTTGCCAACGCTCCGGTTCGCGTCGTTTTAAAATTCCGCGCCCTTAATAACCAAATGAGCCCTACCACGGCTCAAGATGTAATCCAGATCTTAGCTAGGCACCCACAATTAGCAACCAATGAAATACTTCACACCTCCAAATGAGATTTTTTCACATTTTTAAATAGAACCAGTTTATCTATCATTGTCCTAAAAACAAAAACTCAGTTATTTCAAAAACAAAGATGGTGTGGGGCGTTCAATTGTTTTTGCAATAACCTGCTTTAACATCTTAACCGTTTGACTGATTTTAACAAATTGGGTATGGTTGAAAAGAGCATTCCTTAGGCAATGAGAATCAACCAAAATATAGCTAATTTAGTTGATTCCTTCTCCACCATAGGGCTTGTTTTGACACCATGATCCAAAATCCTAAAAAAATCAAAAAAATCGAATGGAATGATATGACTTTTTCTCTATCATCGCGCCATCGACAAATACCGGAAATACGTAAAAAGTAAATTTAAGATACAATTTAAGCATTTTTATTAATTAATTAAGAAATCTCATTTTCCCAATATTTGAGGTTAGGAACGAGATTTTGAAAAACAGTTTTCACTGGCCTCTTTGGGTGTTATTTGCCTACTTTTTCGTAAAGAAAAAGTCATACTTATCATTCCATTTGATTTTTTTTTGATTTTTTTAGGATTTTGGATCATAGTGCCAAACTAGCCCCCTGGCGGAAAAGGATTCAATTAAATTAACTATATTTTAACACCCAAAGAGGCCAGTGAAAACTGTTTTTCAAAATCTCGTTCCTAACCTCAAATATTGGGAAAATGAGATTTCTTAATTAATTAATAAAAATGCTTAAATTGTATCTTAAATTTACTTTTTACGTATTTCCGGTATTTGTCGATGGCGCGATGATAGAGAAAAAGTCATATCATTCCATTCGATTTTTTTGATTTTTTTAGGATTTTGGATCATGGTGTCAAAACAAGCCCTATGGTGGAGAAGGAATCAACTAAATTAGCTATATTTTGGTTGATTCTCATTGCCTAAGGAATGCTCTTTTCAACCATACCCAATTTGTAAAATATGACACCACAAAAATGAGAGGGCATTACAAGAGGATAGCAGAGGCGAGTGTCCTTTGAGATTCACCTTGATCTACCTTCTAAGGGCACCTCCATGTGGCAAGCGTCCTTAAACTGGTCCAGGTTCGGCCCTGTATGATTACTTAGGTAGATTACATTACAATTAGAAGTAATGCTGTAACGAAACCGCGTAGGTAGGTAAACAAACTGCTGATTTGGTGAGACAGAATCAACCCCTAAGGTGTGTAAGTGTCTAACAATGATGGATTGGTAAAGATCTCGAGTATCGTTCGGTATTCAGTTGTATCGGATTTTTTACTACACGTTTTACATGTATCAACTCTCAAATTAGACCGTGACATTACCAACCAATGTCAAAACGATAATCATCAACGTCGGCAATCTGAAAAGATCACGTAACCAGCATAGTTTCTATGCGAACTCTTATCAAAACCCATGGAGCAAAGAAGACAAATGCTGGTATTTTCAACTCGACCAAATTTATTATTTTGCCAGTGATATTTTCCATTTCTGAGGTTCGTGTGGTCGCGATGACTATCGAGATGAATAGACGATGCTGCGTTAGGAAGGATACTAGGGACATAGGAGATTTTTTTAAGTCAAATGCGTCTACTTTGAGTTTATTTTCCGGCCATGTACTACAAACAAGTTGTCGTTAAGGTAATACTTTCTTATGCCATTATCATCAATCACCGAATCAACTCGATCAACGTGGTCTGCTAAGAATTCCTTTTGTAAATGATTGGGAACCAAATCGTAAAACGGATTTATTGTAATGAAACGACCTGCGGATGTTTTAATTAATTTTTTTGATTCAAGTATAAAAAGTTCACCTTCTAAGTCGTCCCTACTATAACCTTCAAAACGAATTGCCTTTACTTGACAAAAGACACTTTCAAATCCTATATCTTCTAAAAGGCTAGTTAATTCCTTTTCTGGCATTCCCGGGTTCAATGCTTGTTGTTAGTTGGTACAAAAAGGTGCATACTTTTCATTATTACGAAGTTCTGTAATGATACGAGACGATGTACTAGAAGATACACAATGGAATGTCATAAAAGAAAATATGTAGTCGAACCGAGCTACAAATTTATCGGGAACGTCTAATACATCAACTTTCTCAAAGCTAAGTCGATCGTCTCCGTACGTTTTCTTCGCGTAGTCGAGCATTGTTTTGGAAATATCAATTCCAATAACTTCTTTAACTTCTTGTTCCAGGTAGGGAAGAATAAGGTCGTGAGTCGTTTTTCCAGGGCCGCAGCCTATGTCTAGCACTGACTTGCCGTGGTTCGTACTATGGAGAATATGTGGAAAGTACGTGTCCAATAAATGACGATAATATTTCATCTGATGAGATAATATATGATTTATATACAGTTCTGGATTCTCCATCTCTTCAAAGAAAGGCTGAGTGATGATGCTAAACGTCCAAGACAATTACAGTACCTACATAGAAATCATATTCGTGTTTAACTATAGTAATAACTAAATAACATCACGGTACCGATACCTTCAAGAGCAGGACTCCAAGTGTTGAATCGTTTATAAAATCTTTGACGAGTATTTTCTTGGCTGCACTGTGCTAAAGATATTATCTTTGATGGTACTTAAGTAATGGAACAGATATTTTCTCAGTTACTTTTCACTTATATTTTGAAATACCAACTAGCCCACGTGTTTACACAACGTGGTTTAACGACAAAATTGTTGAATAGGAGTATTTCAAATGAATATGCCTGTTAACCTATGCCCACTCATATCACAAACTGGTTACTTATCTCATGTTCTATATTTTCTTGTCTATATAACTTTTAAGTAAACGGAAGTCCGGAAATCTTTCTTTTCATTTGTTCATCTTCATATTGTTTTACTATTATCTCTTGTAACTTTTATTTGTTTTAATTTTTTAATTCGATCAGCTGATGTTTCCTTTTAAATCTTTCCTATTACACAGTGGAAAATTTTGCAATTATTTTGTTCTCTTGATGTAACTATTTCTTTAGTTTTCGTGTCTTGGGTCCATAACCTGTTATTGTTGAAGTAATCTGGAGATACTGGCACAACAAAATTATTTAAAATAAACTTTATTAACGATGCTCGGGATCGTTTATAAATTTGTATTTATGTCTGTCTGTTCGTGTACACGATAACTGTGTTTAGAAACGTCCAATCGCTTTGAAAATTGGTACATATGTTCTTAAGGATATAAGAGAAAGGTCGCTTAGCAGACTAGCGGGCCAAAAAGTTACAGCCCAAAAACGATCTCGAAGATCGTTAGGTCTCGGATTTTTTACTACACGTTTTGCATGTATTTATTTCTCAAATTCAACTGTGACATTGTCAACGAACGAATGTCAAAACGCCAATCTTCAGACAACAGAACATGGAATCAATATCTCGCGTTCCTTCTGCAACAGTAATCCCAATCACATTGCAGTGCATTTTTTAACGCATCGCATTTTAGGAGTTTATTGAATACGAAACTTTTTGATCAAAACGTATACTTTGATTCCTTCTATTACCCAATTTTTTTTACATACCTATGATTCGCCACAAATAAGCTAGTGAATTTAACAGCAATATGAAATGATTATGTATAGGTACTGAGCACAATGTGGATGCAAACTCTAACAAAAACCTCGTCCTTGCCACCAAGTTGTAAGCCCTGACAAAAAGTTCCGTA